CCAGTGGATCCCTATATCTGCCTGCCTCCCCCATCTGCCTCCAAACCTCCCCCCAGCCCCTACTCATCCTCCACCTTCCAGTACACCTCCTCCCAGCCCCCCACAGCACAGAGCCTCCCCCACCTACCCCCACCATCTCCACAGTGCACCCCATCTCCAGCTGCTGCAGCTCTGAAGGAGAATGGGACCACAAAGATGGTAGAAATTGGGGGTCAGGTTCCCCCTTGGATGGGCGGGGGGATCCATGAGGAGTCTCTGGTATGTGAAAGACCTGGGGGGCTGTGTGAGGGGAGTCTTTTCATCTTCCCTTCTTTCTCCCTCTTCCTTTCTTCTACCAGAAAGGGAACAAGTCTGCTTTTAACTTCTTGTGAGACTCCCTCACATGTACAGCCAGGAAAAGAAACACTTTTCCTTTTTGATTCTCTGCCAGTTTCCACAATGTAGCAATTTGTTCCAGTTGACATTTTTTACCAATGCAAAACTTGGAAAGAAAAATTATGTTGGTGCAAAGGGATGATTTTTTCCAACTTTCAAGAAGTTTTTAATTGTTTAAAAATAAACCTGAAGGAATGTTAGAAACATTGTGTTTTGCATCCAAATGACTATAAGAACCTGTCAGTTTTCAAGTGTCAAGAGACAACATTTTAAAAAGAGAGGTATTTCTTGGTGTTCCTTTTAAGCAAATTATTCAGTCAAACCTAGAATTCAGGGAAGGTTTTGTTGTTGCTTCAACTTGCAAAAAAAAAAAGTTTTTGTCCATTAAGTTTTGCCTTGCTGTATTCACAAGGAAGTGGAAGGGCAACCCCAGACTGGAGCATGGAAAGGGAGTTGCTCTCCAGGATCAATGCTGGAGCCTTTCTCAAACATGCCAAAAACTGAGGGCTTGAAAGCACCCTCGAAAGGGATGCCTATGATCAATCTCACTAGCAAACTTCAAGGGTTTGGAGTGTTCCTGCAGGGAGGGTACAATTGGGCAGGATGTGCTCGGGCCCATTCTGGCCATGATGCACTATTGCCATAGGATAGACAAGTCCTGACTCACCCACCCACCCATCCCATCTACCTAAAGGTAAAAACAACACCCTCTACTAATTAGGGGCTGGAGCTGACTCAAGTTCTGAGTCAATCAGACAGCAACTCAGGGAACCTAGAGCAGTGGAGCCAGGTGAACTAAACTGGGAAAGAAGCTAAACTCAGACAAGCGAGTCAGAGAGAGGCCAATGGATATCCACAAGGAACAGTGGAAATGGCTGAACCTAATTGTGGAGCAGGTTGGAGAGGAAGCACTAACGTGAGATATAAAAACAAGCAAGGGAGAGCTTCTTGGATTTTTTTAGACCAGTGGTAAGTATGCACAGCACAGCATACAGGAAAGCAGGAATTTGATTGAGGGAGACATGAAGTTTCTGTTCACAAAAGCTTCGTCACTTTTTCTTTTGTTGGTCAGAATTTGAAAATAGGTTGCAGGGTGGGTGGGTGTGTGTGTGTGTGTGTGTGTGTGTGTAGGGACTCAGGTTTCTGTATTTTTTAACTCGCCCTTACCGCACCCATCTCCAGCTAGCAAAACAGAACCTGTTTCTTGACATATAGTGTAGTAGTATATGTAACAAGTTATGCTTGCTGTAAAGAAACGAAGAGAAATCTACCTTTTAATTTCTTAGACTTGAAACTCAGTCCCACACTATCATTCCCCAAACTCTCCAAACAGTACATTAGACTGCCTCAGTTCTTCAGTTCCTAGGGATGACATGGCAGTCAAAGCTAGAATAACAGAATAGATGAAGCAGGGGTCTGATTTAGGAGGGCAATTTGAATGCTTAGCAAACCTTTGTTTAATTTTATTTCCTTGAGGGCTGGCTTACTGGGATAGACTTCCATCTGCATCTATATTTAGAAAAGATAATTTACGGTGAAATACAACTTAGAATATACACTGGAATCTTTCCTTACTCGCTGGAAATGGAAATGTTTAGAAAGCCCAAAAGTTGCTTTAATGTTTGCTAACCTAGGTAACTAACAAGGTATTTTGGATTAACTACATTGCATGTTCACAGAATGATTCAAGCTAACTTTTGCTAGCCTGTCCTAAACACAGTACTTTCAGTTGGTTGAAAAGTTAACTAAAGAGATGACAAGCACAGAATTGCAATGATAAGCATTATTCAAAGCAGCAGCCTGATCACTAGGGACCTACTGAATTCACAGCAGAAGCAGAGTGTGTGGTGGCTCCTTTAATCTTGCATGTTCCCTTGCATACACCTTGCCTCTTGCCTAGCCCCCCACCCCCTTGCTAGTGATTAGCGAAGGACCCTGCTGCTCCTTCCTGGTCAGCAGGGAAGCTAAAACTGCAGTTTTAAATATGGCGCTGTTTTTGCCTCCCCACCAGTCAGCAGCAAACAGCAGGGCCATCTGGGGGCCCTCAGCCAATTAGTGGTGGGAGGCAAAAACAGCACCACATTTAAAACCACAGTTTTCTCCTCCCTGCTGAGTAAGAGTGAGCCGCTAGCAGGGCCCCTTCACCAATCAGTGGGTGGGGAGGAGAGCAGGGGGGAACCTGAAAGATTAAAGGAGCCACAATGCACCCCATTCCCACCATGAATTCAGTAGGTCCCTACTGATCACTATAGGCAAAGTGACTAAGATCCAACCCAATAATATAAAAGAATTGCAAATGTGCAGTTTAAAATACTGATACGTCTACAAAACCATGTTGTGTTCTATGGTGTAGATCTATTTTCTAAACTTGAGAGACACCCCATTTTTGATGGAGACATCAGTTACCCTGTTTTTCTCTACTGTTCCTCAGACCTGCCTAGGCTTCTTCATCATTTCCACATCTTTGAATAAAATGGGTAGGAATCTTGGTTTTTGTATTCTTTGCTCCTAGTAATCTGAGCCATATTTAGAATAAAAAATAACAGTGACTATCTGAAGTGGCAGCAGTGATGTCTACTGTAAGTAGACACTTTCGATCCATTCAGAGCTGTAAAAAGCTAGTATTCATTACTGCAAGGCTCCCTCACTGTAAGGCTGCATTTGGAGGCAAGAGGGTTGGCATGGTATTTACTGGGAATGCTTATAAAGGAGTTAAAGAAAATTTGATTTCTGGAGGGCAGAAGCTGTGTACCCTTCTAGATTATGTGGCAGAGCTTCATCAACAGTACTGTTGTGGGCTAAGTACACAAGAAAGGCAGAGCCTATCAAATTAGCTTAGTTAGCAAAGCCTCTAGCCATTGTACAGAAACCTTTTTCTATCTGACACATCGGCTGGGCTGAAATACATGGCAGCAGTTTTCTAGGAGAGAGAGAATCATTTGCTTTTTTCATTTCTTTTCTTCCGGCTCTACAACCTCAACAGTGAGAATCTGTTCCCCACTTTGTGGGGCAGGTGTCATGCGGAAAGAGACTGAATCATCTCCTGTCACAGTGACAACTTCCTCAGTTTGTTGTTCTTCTGACTTGCGGCGGGAGGCCAACGGGGATCGATGATGCATTGGTGATTTTGGTGGAACTGGAGCGGAAGCCGCCTCCTGGAAGATACACCAAACAAAGTCAAATTTACAAGGCCTTAATCCATGATCACACCTTATTGGCCACTACTACTGTTAATTAATTCTTAATGCTTAGTGTAGTCTGGCAGAGAAAACAGGATGTCAAGAGTGTTTATGGCATCGGAGCTCTTCACTAGGATTTCACTTTACTGGTGTTTGGTTGAGTTTTGTTTGTAGGGGAAGATAAATTATATGCTCAGGAAACAGGTTGGAATCAGTATCATCACTCTGTAACTTCTGTTACAGAGATTAGTCATTACATTTCAGTCCTTTTTGGAAATAACCAAGGGATTTATCCTGGTAACATTTTGCAAAAATATGTTGTCAGTGCACCTCAAACACCAAATGACTATCTAAAAGTACAGGCATTTACAATGAAAGCTAATAAAAAGAAAATGCAATCTTCAAAATCTGATAAAGGAGGATAAAAGCCCATACTGAACTAATATAGACTAGGAAAGGAAGCTGGAGTTCTTGGTAAATGCATCACTTACAGCATTTATTTTTGTGGTGGCTATCCAGAATGTGTGGTAAATCAGCAGCATCTCTGCTGCTGCTTTTAAATGTTTTTAAATTTTTGTTACCATGTTTAATTATCTGAAGCCTCACTTCTATGAAAGGCAATATAGACCTGGATTTCATTGTTTTGTGTCTCTTTCTGGATACTAATATGGTCCATTATCAGAGTTCTGAATGCCTGTTGGTGTTTCAATACCCGTGTTCTACTAAGAAAAGACGTGGATATATTAAACAGACATTTATGTTTAATTAAATGTGGCTCCTTTTTTACTGTTTGACCAGGAAAGCAAACCAGAAAATGTGAATATTAAGACTTTTAATTTCTTTGGTTCTATCCAAATCTGACTAACTGAATTTGTGGAATATCAAAATGCAATTCCAGTTAAATGAATAATGCTAAAGATTTGGATGGATATACTTCCCTGTAGATACTGGATATTTGGTTCTGCATTTGCCCATTATTTTATTATATATAATAGTGGCTCTGAATCTTATGAAGTAGAGGTTTTGTTATGTGGATATGTACACAATAAAACTAGACTGTCACCTAACATAATTAGGAGCTCCAAAGGTGAAAGCTAATGTGTTTATCCTTTTGGGCCACGCTGCAAGCTGATGCCTGCTAGTGACTACACCTTCCTTGAAGGCTGTCTTTAATTCATCTACAACCACTTTTCTGTTTGTTTCAATCACTCTCAAATTTAGCTACCTTTATGTGAAATGTAATAGAGGTCTCAGTTCTGTTCCTTAAGAACTGACTTTATAAAACCACAATTATTACCAACAGCTGACTCCTTTTTTTGACTGTGGCTCCAGAAAAGCAAACCCAAAAAGCAGACCAGGTTCGTTATTTTTCAGCTGGAATATACATTCTATGCTACACCTTGCTCAGCCTATTAACTGTATTACAAAATGATCATCCCATTGTGAATGAAAGAACAAAAATTCCCCTCCTTTGTGCTCACCTGCATTTCCTGCATTGCTTTCAGCTCTTTCAGTTTCCACCTGATGTGGGCAAGCTTTCCTTTTCTTGCCATCTTTCCTGCAGCTGCCAGAGCCGCTTGGAAGAGTTTAGGTGTCCCAGGTCTTGGAGGAATGATGAGCGTCTCTTTGGGAATTCCTTTTTCATCTTTCCGTTTATTGTTGTTTTTCAGCATTTTCCTAGAGCCAGAAAAGAAAACTAGTTCTGTCTGGGAACATGCCATGCTAAATTCATTTTCCAACACAAACAGATTCAATTTTGTAGCAAACAAGGAAGGTATTCTTAAAACTTTGGACTTGGTTGTGGGGTAGAGCTGGGAAAGGGAGACAAAAATAATCCGAATATTTTGTTCACATTGCTACATGTGTGGGCAGCCAGTGCTCCCAAGCAGTTCATACAACATGGGAGCTAACAAGTAATACAGTGTTGTTCAAATCAGTTCATGAAATAAATGCAGTCACAATCATTATTTGCAGAAGCAAACTTCAAATATATACACACAAACATGAATTACATGCACTCTTCATATATGTTTTTATCAAAGGTAAAACTTGGCCTGACTAGCAAGGAATAATCTTCTAAAAGATGTAGGGACACTCAAACTGCTTGACACATTTAAAATGAGGCTGTACAAAATATTAGTAAACAGAAAATACTTCTAAAATATTGGGGTGGGGAGTTGAATTAAATGATCCAATTAATCTTTTCCAACTGTAGGATTTAAAATGATCTGCTGAAACCCTCTAGGATGAAATACAGCTATGAATTAGGAAAGGAAATTAACAGCCATCTTCTACCCACATTAGCTTCAAGCTACCTCAAAGAGCACCCTCTAGCTTCTACTCAAATTACTGGAGATTCGGTAGATTTTTTTTTCAAGTCCTGATCAGGTTTGAGTCTGTATAACTTATGAGAAGTGATTCAACTAAACCCCCTCTGTGTGTGTGTGTGTGTGTGTGTGTGTGTGTGTGTGTGTGTGTGTGTGTGTGTGTGTACACCTGGTGTGCAGCCCCAAAGATGCACCTGATTTCTCTGACTCTAAGGTTTGTACCGTCTAAATATTTATTACATAATACAAATCAACACTGACAAGTGCAGGGTGCTGCACCTGGGGAGGAAGAACCAGTGGCACACCTATGGGCTGGGGAACTCCCTTCTCGCGAGGGTCAAGACAGAAAAGGATCTTGGAGTCATCATTGATGCAACAATGAACATGGGCCGACAAAGTGGGGACGCAGTCAGGAAGGCTAACCATACCTTTTTGGGCATCCACAGACACATCTCAAGCAGGTCCAAGGGTGTGATCCCCCCCCTCTATGTGACACTGGTCAGGCCGCAGCTGGAGTACTGCGTCCAGTTCTGGGCGCCGCACTTCAGGAGGGATGTGGCCAACATGGAGAGGGTCCAAAGGAGGGCCACCCGCATGATCAGGGGTCAGCAGGGCAGGCCCTATGAGGAGAGGCTGAGGGACCTGAACCTGTTCAGCCTCCAAAAGAGAAGGCTGAGAGGGGATCTAGTGGCAGTCTACAAACTAGTCAAGGGGGACCAGCAGGCATTGGGAGAGTCCCTTTTCCCCCCGAGCACTTCCGGGAGTTACAAGAAACAAAGGACACAAGCTAGCGAAGGGTAGTTTCAGGCTAGACATTAGGAGGTGCTATTTCACTGTCAGGGCGGCTAGGACCTGGAACCAACTTCCAAAAGAAGTGGTGCTGGCTCCTACCCTGGGGGTCTTTAAAAAAAGGTTGGACGAACATCTGGCCGGGGTCGTTTGACCCCAGTACTCTTTCCTGCCATGGCAGGGGGTTGGACTAGATGATCTCCTCAGGTCCCTTCCGACCCTACCAACTACGAAACTATGAAATGACACTTCAAAAAACAACCTGTCACTCACTTTGCTTTCTTACGCAGAAGCTTCTCTGAGTCAGGATAATGCACCAAAATTTCACTCAAGTCCTTCTTATCCAGAATGAAAAGATTAGCGAATCCATGAGCCACAACATTTGCTGTGCGGCGATTTCCACCTCCTACTGCCAGCAAGCTAATTAAAACAGCAAGAGAGGTTAATTTAAAACCAGAAGTGTGACAGGGTTTGTTTCCGGAAACAAGTTGTCTACATATTCAGTGCTTGCCTTCTACCAACAATGACATTTTCACATGTCTGGTATTTTATGTGGGGGTTTTTGTGAAACAGTAACAGAAAAGCATCTTTTTAAAAAAAATCATTATTGTTATTTTGTAACTATGATGACATAAAACAAGCTTCATACAGAAATGGCTATAGAAAAAGCAACCAGACTCACCAATCAATACAATAACTCTGAGCAGTTATGCACAGGTATTAGCTATTCAAACAACAATAGGCATTATAGTTCACATACTACAAGGAAAGCAAGGACCTTTATCGGGGTTGTCAGTGTTGTGGCTCTACTTTTCCAACTGTCACTGCAGAGCATGCAGATCTTTGCTAATAGAGATGTGTAGGTTTTTGTAATCATATTCCGCCTATAACTAGCATTTCTGTTTCTTCTTGAAGTTGGCTGACCTGAAGAGTTCATTATAAATGCATGCTTTTCCTGATAACCAGGAACTATTTTCATCGCACTTTACACTTTGATCTCTCACATTTTCAGCCACAAGGATTCCCTACCTGACCCATACCTACACAGGTCAAGTGGTTTAGAACAGTAAGCTTGCAGTGATTTCTTTTCACCTAACGTGAGAAAGGGGTGATCCAAGTCAGACTAGAGAATTCTCCATTTTCTTGGGTTTATTTCAAAATCAACAATACGCTTACTGAGGAGTTCGGCTTTTAAGATTGAATAAAGATGGGGTCACACAGATTTTCAACCAGGGTACAGAGGAGACCCACCATTTACAATCTGAGTCTCCATAGTGAGATCACCAATCCTTTCATCTGAGAAGGATCTCAAAGGACCCTTTCAATGCTCTTCAGTTGGGCAGGAGGGTGATGATGGTAGTTTTATCTGATGTTTCTTTTTTCCTCTCTTCTTCCTCCCCTCTCCCTGCCCCCCCACAAGTTGAGTCTTGCTTCTGCTACTGTCAGAGCACCAAGTCAGCTTATATCATGGAAGCTTATGTAGAAATAAGGCAAGGTGATTAGGGAAACTTGAAATTGTAAAAATAAAAACCTGTCACTTATTTGTGTGAACAGACACCACTGGTGTCTGTCTGATCCCTTTCAACAACAGCAGAAAATAGAACCCAGTGGTGTATCTGCCTTTCCCACCTGTGCTGAGCTCAACTTCTGCTATATATCCTCAAATTCCATCTAATCCCAGTTGTCCTTCATTTTCATGACTTCCCCCATTGATCCCTCCTCTAACCTGATTTCTCCAAACACCGACCCAGGTTTCAGTGTCACAAGCACAGTTTTGCCATCGGGTCCTCCAAGCACCTGCACCTGTCCAGCCTGTATAATATACATCTCTCGGCCAATTTCCCCCTAAAACAAAGATTAGAACAAATTGTGGGGCATGCAGTTGTTGCACTGATACATTCCAGAAAGAAGGGATGGTCAAATACAGAACATAGGGGGACACTGTTCCTCCAGCTCTCTTTATTCACAGTATTTTTTTCTCTCTCATATTATTATATCCTATTTCCTCTCAACTGTTACTGTTACTAATGGCAACCACAGCTATAGTAAAAATAAATCTGTTCAAAATCAGGTTTTTACCTTCTTAATATTAATATTTTTTACATCTAAACCAACAGAGGGCACTCACTGCACATTATAATCAGCTTCAACAACAGTTCGCGACAGTTTTGCTATGAATTCCCTTACAAAAAGGTGCATCCTTCCTGTCATGTTTTGTTGGCCACATCTTTCTACCTCAGATACCTCTCAGAAGTGCGGCCCAGAAAGGGCAAAAGTGACAACTCTGCTCTACCTTTGTGCTTCTTAATTTTGTGTAACCATGGTTGCAGCTTCTGGTGTAAGCTACAAAAAAATATTTGTGGAGGCTGCACTAATTACGGTAGTCTGGCATGACTGCCTATGAGCTGCTCCATAGTCAGGAATATCAGGAACACTTCCCTCATCCTTCCCCATTCTCACTCCCATAATACCTCCCTCTTGATCCTATTCACACCCTCTGTAGTACCCCCATACACACTGTCTATGCAGAAGGGTAGCATATGCTTGCGTATATCAAGCATATGCTGCTGCCTCCATTGGCTGAAGTTCCAAAAGGACCTTTATGGTCAATTTGTGCTGGAACAATATCAATAGCGACAACCAGAATATGCTCCTGTCTCTTTCAACGTTTCCCCCTGCCAAATGTATGAGGTAAAAAAAATAAATGCCCCACACCCATTCAAATAATTTGATGATGAGCTTCTGCAACTGGCTTGTCTCTCCCTTACCCTAACATAGCATCACTCTACTTTCAATTCTATAAAGATAATTTGTTTAAAGAGGAAATGCCTGTTACCTTCTTACATACGTAGTCATGAGGTAAGTAAACAACAGACTTGAGTCTCTTCAGCATGTCAAAAATCATCTGCCGGTCACAGCCCTGAAGCAAAGACAAAGAAGGAAGAATCATTATTTAGTGTGTGGGCACATGTCCATATTTAACTCATGTCAGAGCTGAGAAGGTTGGCAGTACCTGGAAGAGCGCCACCTTACTGACTATAGCATAGTTCACATCAATGGCAATATCCAGCCTCATCTTTTCAGGTAACTGCACCAACAGCTCGGTTTCATCTGTCACATTGGGATAGAAAACAAAATGCTGGTGACTTGCAGAAATTTGCTGGCCTTCAAGTATGGGTCTCAGTGCACAAGTCAGTGCAGAGTCATGGCCATTAAGAATCATGGCTTCCACTTTTATACCTAGGAAGCAGGAAAATCTACAACAATGACCTAGGCTGTGTCCAGAGGAAGAGTGTATTTCACTTAAACAACAATCTCCTTTGGATTCTGCAGAGGCCGCTATGCATGATCACTACAACTGGAGCTCTATGCTTTCAAAAGTTTGTTGGCAGTAGAAGGCAACTCTTTGCAGATGGATCCTGTCAAACCACAGAGATTTCAATATACAGGTAAGTATGACCCCATCAGCTTGATATTGCAACACTCTTCTGAGAAGGGAGTTGGTCCAGGAGTGAGTGGAAACCAATATGATGACTGAATCCGAGAGAACGAGCCTGCGGGGGGGGGGAGACAATGAGAAAAAAAAAAGACCCCTCTCCTTATCCCCTTCCTCTCCCTTCTACTCAAAATGCTTGGGGATGGGACCTTCAAGCTGTGCTGCCACTGTCTCTGCAAAGTGGCTGCAATGCCCTCAATGTATGGGTTTAACTGGAATATCTTAGTGCCACTCGGCACATCTACACAATACTTTACAGCAATGTAGCATCAGCGGGCATGAACCATGATGCCAATGCTACTGTGCAATAGCTTCAGAAACAACCCAGGCAGCGCTGGAACTGTGCAGTACCAGCGGTTACTACACAGTCAGGTGCATGTGTTGACATGCCCACTGACTGTTAGAAGGGGGAATAGGCAGCCATGTCTCTTGTTTTTTCTCCAAATAACTGAATCTGCAGTTGGTGCTGATAACAGTAATCAGCATTTTAGCTGCATGCACAAACTGTTGTTTATTTAGTGAGAACACTGCCATAAAAAAAACAGAAAGGCATGAACTTGAAGTCATATTAGCAATAATCCTGTATACAGCATGTTCTTACCTAGCATGCCTTGTGACTGCCATGTGTAATCATACCATGTTTTGACCCGGTTCTGAACAACTTTGGGAATTCTGTAGAAGTTCATGTACTTAATGGTACTGTCCATGCAACTCCGATAATAGGTTTGTCCTGCTGTAGCAGCACCAACTACATCTCTCATCTGGGTTGGAGGCAGGAGTACAAAACAAAGGAAAAGCATTTATTCATTGTTACTTAGAGTTGTTGAGGATTCTAAAGACTCCACACCTAGTTGTTGTGGATTGCCATAGAGATTTTTAGCACCTGCATGCTCTGATTTAGAACATCACTGGCAATCTGCAAGTCAGGAGCCTTTCTGTTAATAAAACAAATTTTGAAATTACCCTGACACTCTGGGAGGAAGTTGAAAAGTGCAGAGTAGGCTTTTATAATCAAAGCATCATTTCAGAGGAAGAGGCATTAAAAAGAACACACTGTCAATTTACAGTACAGGGAATGGACAATGAGGTGATTATTTGCCTACCTGACCTATCATAACAGAGAAGGCAAAGACTCCCGTGAAGTAGTTCACAAGCTGGAAGACTATTTCAAACAGAGTTCGAGGGTCTGGGAGGCCTCCAATAGTAATCAGGGTCTTGACAGCCCAGTAGTAACAACGGATATAACTACAAGGAAAAGAAAGAACAATGCTTCTGTGGGTTTCCTGCAGCATTACTTACTTTTTACTATCGGATTGCATGCTTACACTCATCCAGTCTGGAGTCTTTTGTCTCTAGTGTTGGGGGGAAACTAATGAACTTAAATCTCTTTTTCCTTCAAAGAAAATGTTCTTAGAAATCCCATAGAAGCAAAGAGATTTAGCATTTACCTAGAAATCCCAATTTGTTAGGTTAAGTTATCCAACTGGGTTCTCATCCCCTCTATCAGTAGCACTAATAGCAAACTGGAAAAAAGCAGTCACCCACATTTATCGTGTGTGTATGTAAGGTCATTTAGATAGATAGATAGATAGATAGATCTTGTGATTAATGTACTAGGTTGGGACTCGGGAGATCAGGGTTCAATTTCTGCCTGTATCATATTACAAAACAAAACCATCCCCATAACCAACAAATAGCATAAAGGTTGCAAAGCCAAACACCAAAGTAAAGAGTAAAGGTTACCTGTTACCAGAATTAGGGTTACTAGTTGCAAGCTTAATTTGACCCCTGTGTGGATATGATCGTCACATACTCTTTCTATAGGATCCTTGCCTCATTCAGTGTATAGGATGGATGAAACTCAATTAATGAGCACATTTTCAATATTTTGTGTCACCCTCATTGGTCAGTATTTGGCCCTCAGCTTTAATTATGGTAGAATATCCAGCTCCTGCTCTGAATACAGCTTATTATGTTTTCATATGGGATTTTCTGCAGTACTCAGGGGAGAGCTCATTATAATCAATTCATCTTCACAACAACCTTGTGAAGTGCGTTCAGTGTTATCACCTTGATATTGAAGAGAAGAAGCTGCAGCACAGGGAGATTAAGGTAAAAAAAAAAAAAAGTCCCTAATTCTGGGTGCTTGATTTGACATACCCGAGTCTGATTTTTCAGAGTAGTATTGCACATATTCCAGCATCCCAGTGCTTTCAGTTGCAGACATGAGCAAAGATCCCAGATCTGCCAGCAGAGGACTGCGGAAACCCAGGGTTCTTGGGCTCCTCTCTCAGTTTTGCAGAAACATGTTCTCTAACACTCAAGGACCTTTTTAGCTGGTCTCCCAGGCTTAACAACTTTTGACCCTGTCCTCTGCAACCAGTTGATGTCCTGTTTCTCTCCCACTCTTTGCTCCTCATCCCAGTACCAGTTTCCTTGTCTATCTACTCCAGTCCCAGTTTCTACTCCTCAGACCCCTCATCCTAATCCTAGATTCCTTACCTAGCCAACCCCACTCTCCTCTTTTAGTTTCTCATCTCTCTCCCATTTTCTACAGTTACTAGCTCCAGTCTGTTATTTTTCCCAAGCTCCTCACCCACCTCAGTCTGTTACCCAGCTCCCAGCTCCTTCCCATATCTCCACCTGCCTCTTGTTTTCCCTCATCTTCCAGCTCCTCTGATCTTTGTGTTTCCCCTCCCATATGTACCGCATTCCCTTACCAGCTCTCAGCCCTCTCACCCCCCATTCTCAGTCCTTGTTGACTCTGTGCATCTATGAATGGCAGTGGGTTACTATCAAATGTACCATAGCACGATGTTCTGGGTTTTTTTGTTTGTTTGTTTGTTTTTTGTCCAACCTATTTACTATTAAATGTAGCATATTAATCCAGCCTTGGCTATACCCTGGCAGTCTCTGTCACTCCTATTATGCTTCACTGGATTACACAACAGAAAAGATCAAACATGGTAAGTACCTGTTTCCTTCCCCATCATACACCCAGTGTGTAGAACCCAGCCCTTCAAATGCCGATGCCCAGTAGTATAGACAAGAGTTCACGTGTAAGCAGTAGAGTAAATAGGCTGTGGTCCTTATCACTCTGTAAACCAAAGGAAAGGGAAAAGGGAAAATTGTAAGGTAGTTGATAATGAGAAACACTTTAAATTCCCCCTCAAAATATCACCATTAAAAGTGAAAGGCAATTAATAGAAAGATGGGGTGGATGCTGATATTTCTAGTTATATTTAAAAAAAAAAGAAAAATGAATCCCTGTGAAGCCCCAGAGGTGAAAGAGCCAACGCTCGGCACAATTCATAGACAATGAAGGTACCAGCATATTTCTTATCTATGGCTTTCCCCTAGTAACCCTTCTCCCATCCCATCCCATCCCATTCCATCCCCCCCACCCCCATGCTGTTCCCTTTGCTTTCAGATCAAAAATATCATCTCTAATAACACTGATAGTACTTACCACATGCAACTGGCACTTTAAAAGCTTTAATAGAAACTACTGTTAATATAGACACATTTTCTATGGTTATCTTTCATGCTGTCATTCTGGGTCGTGTCCTGCTAGCAGTGGCACATGCTATGAGTCAAAATCAGCTGAAGACTGACTGAAAAATTAATCTTTCATTTGGTTGCAGAGAGAACCAAGTGTTAAGTGCTTGGGCCACGAGGCCCCGTAGTATTTGATCCCAGTGTTTCTCTGCCAGTCATCTTATGATGTATTAGTGTCCATCTCATTTCCTACCACAAAGCAATTGACTTTTGTGATAATTATGAGGAGGAACCTTCTCTATCTAGATTTATTTAGTTGGAAATGGGGGACAATAAAGAATTGTTTGGATGAAGACTTCTGTATCTCTAGAATTACATCTCTCTCCACTCCAATAAAGAGGAATCCTAAAAATAATGTCCTACAAAAATAAACAAGCATCAATGGTTTATCTTACCTGTAAATATATGCCTTGCTCAGAATAGCTTCAAGTCGATTGTTAAACTCGAAGAAAGCCATGTACTGTTGAAGAGAATGAATGCAATAGGTGTCAGAATAATAGAAAATTAGAGTTAGACGGGACCTCAGGAGATCATCTAGTCCAACCCCCTTCTCAAAGCAGGACCATCGCCAACTAAATGATCCCAGCCAAAGCTTTGTCTAGGCAGGTCTTAAAAACCTCCAAGGATAGAGAGTCTACAACCTCTCTGGGTGTGTCAGCTCCCTGATTTCTGTAACTGATAACTACTTTGGACTAAAGCTTAAATGAGAAATGATGAACTACTAGAACCATGTTTCACACTTGTATCCCTTCCAAAATAGTTCCATTCTCCTTTGCTTTTACTTCTCCAATAGTTAAATGGCATGATCTACAAAAGGAGTAATTTGGGAAAGACCTAGGTACCACTGTTTTTTTTTAACCTATGACTGATTTTTTTACTGTATTTTGTATTCTAAAATGCTAAGTGCACTTTAGAGTTGACATCAAGTGCTAGTTTGATGACCTGAAGGCTCAAGTCTTCCATATGACTTCCAAATCTTGGACTTTTTCTATGTTGCAGATTACTGCTGGTCCATTGTTATTCAGGACTATCCGTTCATTTCCCATATACAAGAAAATAGGTGAAAAGCAGGACTGTGTTTGATAATATCTTTTCTTGCACCAACTATACTGTTGGGAGAAATGTTAGATAAGCTTTCGAGCACAAAATGCATGTCATAATTACTTTCACCTGCTACTAATCTGATGTAAAATTGGACTACTGTCTCCATAGCCAATGTGGTATCTCTTCAACCATCTAATCTTCTAACCGAAACTAGTCTTGTGTTTATATACACTTTTTTCATTGTTCTCATTTTTAAAGCAATAGTGGCTTTCCTTGAAAAACCTCTAATTGTTTTGAAACTTAATCTATCACAGAGGAGCTGTTTCTCTGCTTACATCAGGTTTAATGATTGCAATATGGACATACACATTCCTACTTCAGTAGGAGCTGGATCAGCCTCTCAGTATGTGTTTTCACAACCCACCTTGAAAATAAATTAAGGATATACAAATTACAGCTGAAGCACATGACAGCTTCAGCAGAACAAACCTCTTCACCACTCTTCCCTCATACAATTTTCTTGACATCTGCATTTAGCCTATTTCTACAGCAAGCAATAACTCATCAACAATAGCACAGTATTCAGTTACAGTTAATGGCAATGCATATTCTCCCTTGTTTTTGTAAGTTTCTGGCTTACCTTTAAACAGCGAGGCAAACGTAAGAGGGAATTTACACCAACTTTGAAGTAAAATATATCCAGAGGAATGAGGGAGATCAAGTCCATCTAAAAGCCATTCAGACCAAAGAAGAAAACATGGTGGTGAACTAAAAACATCATGGGACTCATTTGCTTCAACCAGCCCTCAAGCAAATATTTATGAAACACACTTCTGCCTTTTCAGTGAAATCAACAGTGATGATCCAGGGATAGAGTAATGCAAGTCAGTGAACAACACAACCATATTCCATAGGCACAGATAAACTCAACACCCTTTAACTTGTCTAGATAATAACTGGGGCTCCAGAGAGGCTCACATTACAATGGGAACTCCATTATTTGAATCCTATGTGCTCTCTTGCCCATATCCAAATCACGATACTCCTAGCTCCCTCTGAGGGTGCTACTGCTTCTTTCTGAACTTACCTACCATACTGTCTGTGATCCCTAGTTATTCATGGTTAGTCCCTGATCAGAGACAGCCATAGGGTGTGAGGAAAAGCACTAGCATTCCTTCTATTCCTTTCATACCCAAGACAGGGATATCCTAAGTCTGGTCTTCAGTATATTTAAAGGCCATTAGCAAGATAAAAATCATATATATTAAATTATTGCAGTTTTTTCTTCAGAAACATGACCAATAACAGGAGTGAGTATATCATTATTAATCTGTACTCTGACAAATACTAACATACATAAACAAAAGTCATATAAAATGCATCTCACCTTGAAGCGTTCAGTTTTCATGTAGTTTTCTCTCATGTCCTTTTTATCACACTAGGTGAAAACAAGAGGCAGAAAGAGGCATCATCACTCTACTATGAGCTTTACTTAACTGAAAAGGCAATAGAGCTACATCCACAGACCTGGCCATATGCTTCCTTACAAATATGTACCACAAAGAGGATAAGAAAAGTCCTAATGATAAGAGGAATGGACGAAGGTAAGAGAGATGGAAGGGGATGTGACCACATAACCTTTTTGCCCAACTGACCTATGTACAGTTAACATATTGGAAGATCTTTTGTACTGAGAGAAGGCATATGGCTTGATGATGGGATAATGGGCAAGGGGGGTCCTTAAGTTGCCATTTCAGTTCCCTGAACATTTTTCTTAGGATAACATAGACCCGTAAGACTCCTACAGTATCTCTATTCTAAACAGGCATAACCTCCACAAGCTGCCCCATGTTCCCAGCTGGTGGAGGCAGTGTACTGGTTAGATGAAAGGAGCCAATAGCAGCAGAGCAGTCTAAAAGGCACTTTCTATCCTAAGAAAGGAGGAGCAATATGCAGGGAAACAGAAATCCATGTGTTTCATTCTATCCGTTCCCATGGATCTCAATTCTGTATGTGGTATTTTTGGCCATTTCTTCCTATTTTATGCCGCTACAAGGACACGTCTACAAGAGCACTTTACTGTTTTACTGCACATTAATGCTGCATGTAAAAAAAGTGCAATTACAGTAATGTTCAGTAAGATAAGCTACTGTGCATTAAGCGTCACTTGAAAAATGTACACTTTTGGTACTGGACAATAGAGCAGCCTAATGCACATTTACTTAGTACCTCACAATGGAGGTACTAAATTTAATGCACATTAGGAAAGATTCATAGATTCATCGATTGTGAGACTGGAAGGGACCTCGGAAGATCATTGAGTCCAGCCCCCTGCACCAAGCAGGAAAGACAACTTGGGTCCGGTGACCCCAGCAAGGTGACCGTCCAATCTCCTCTTGAAGATTTCCAGGGTAGGTGATTGCACCACCTCTGGAGACAGCTTATTTCACAGTCTGGACACCCTAGCTGTGAAGAAGTTTTTCCTAATGTTGAGCCTGTAACAATCTTCTAGGAGTTTGTGACCATTACTCCTGGTTTTCTCCAAGGGTGCCCTGGTGAACAGTTGCTCATCTAGCCCTTGATGTACACCCCTGATGTAGCAGTAAGCTACTATCAAGTCCCCTCTCAGCCTTCTCTTTTTCAGGCTGAAGAGTCCCAGGTCCCTCAGTCTAAAGAAGGGCCACCCATATGATCAGAGACTTGCACGGCAAGCCATACCAGGAAAGGCTGTCTCAAGCTTTACCACATCCTTTTTAACGTGTGGCACCCAGAATTGGATGCAGTACTCCAGCTGTGGTCTCACCAAAGCTGAGTAGAGTAAAAGAATCACTTCCTTGGTTTTGCTGGAGATGCATCAACTGATGCATGCCAGAGTATTATTTGCCCTGTTGGCTACAGCATCTCACTGCTGGCTCATGTTCATACCATGGTCTATTATTACCCCCAGGTCCCTTTCATTCGTAGTTTTCATCAGATTGGCATTGCCGAGCCTGTAGGTGTGTAGGGGATTGTTTGTCTCCAGATGGAGCACTTTACATTTCTCAGTCTTGAACTTCATCTGGTTCTGATCTGCCCAACTTGCCAGCTTGTCTACGTCCACCTGTATCTTCAAGCGTGACCATGCTTCCCCATAACTTGGTGACATCCGCAAACTTGGTCAGCGAGCTCTTCACCCCCACATCCAAATCATTGATGAAGATGTTGAATAGCATTGGACCGTGCACTGACTCCTGAGGGACACCACTGGCCACTTCTCACCAAGACAACACAGATCCGTTAATTAGGACTCTCTGGGTCCTACCCCACAGTCAGCTTCCTACCCACCTAACTGTCAAGAAGTTAAGCCCATAATCCTCCAATTTTGTCGCAAGAACATCATGGGATACCAGATCAAAAGCTTTTTGGAAGTCAAGGTATACAATGTCAACCTCCTCTTATCCACGTGGTGAGTTACCTGATCATAAAAGAAGATGAGGTTGGTAAGAGAAGACCTGCCCATGACAAAGCCATACTGGCTGTCATTCAGAATCCTACCTTCTGCAAACCCATCACACATAGACTCCTTAATGAATTTTACCAGCATTTTCCCTGGGATAGAAGTTAGGCTAATTGGCCTATAGTTACCCAGGCCCTCCCTTCTCCCCTTCTTGAAGATGGGCACAACATTGGCCTCTTCCAGTCCTCAAGGACCTCTCCGGAGCACCACGAGTTTTGGAAGAGTTTCACCAGGGGTTCTGTGATAACTTTGCCCAGCTCCTTCAGCACTCTCAGATGAAGTTCATCCAGTCCTGCTGACTTATATATGTCTATTTTTTTTAATTGATCACACACCAGTTCTATGGCAATAGTAGGAAAACATTCATTCTTACCCTGCTCATTCTGTACCCCATCTGGCATGACTTTCCCCTTGGCCCGGTGAAAAACTGAAGCAAAGTAGTCATTCAGGAGTTCAGTTTTCTCCTGAGTGCCAGTAACCAGCTGTCCTGAGTTGTTGAGCAGTGGCCCCACACTCCCATTTGTTTCCCTCCTGTTCCCTACATACCTAAACAAGGACTTCTTGTTGTCCTTGATTCCCATTGCTAATTTTAGTTCAGTTGCCACCTTAGCCTTTCTAATTTGCTCCCTACAAGTACAGGCCATTGTTGTATAGTCCTCCTTGGGGCATGTCCCAAGCTTCCATTGTCTGTATACCTCTTTCTTCTTTCTCAAGAGGACCATGATTTCTCTGTTTAGCCAAGAGGGCTTCCCAGCCCTTTTGCTACCTTTCCTCTGTGTGGAAATAGACTTCCTTTGTGCTTCAAGGATCATATCCTTAAGGAATGACCACTCTTCATGTACTCATTTCACCTTCAGTCCCTGGCCCCACAGTGGTTTCACTACTAGTGACCTAAGCTTTTCCCTACTGGTGACTTGAGCTTGTTGAAATTTGCATTTTTTAAGTCTGAAACGTCAATCCTGCTATCTAATTGTCTGCCTTGCGACGGACAGTGAACATGATGGTTTCATGGTCACTATCGCCCAGGCTTCCCTCTATGTTTAAGTCATCTCCCTTGGCCAGGACCAATTCTAGAAAAGTGTTACTTCTGGTTGGCTCGTGCACCTCCCGAGTCAGAAAAAGTGATTTGATGAGGAAAAGCACATTAATGCACATGAAAATGCAACCCCATCATCCAAATACTAAGTGGATGCTTCCGTAATGATGTAAGCCACTGATTTTTCAAGCTAAGCCTTCCAATTTGTGTGTTTTTATAAGTAATGGGCAGAACATAACCTTTAGCTCTTGCTTCCCACAGCTCATTTGGTTGGATACAGAAACTGAATCAAAGATTTTAACATCATCCTGTATCTCGAGCACATGCTCCAAATATTGATTTTGTGATCACTTTTGCCATATTCATTTATTCTGGCTCTCTACACTCAAGAAAATTAAAAGCACTATTTATGAGACTGCCAGCCCTGAGTGACAAGGCATATAGGCTGAAGGCTTTTCTACAGCAGCTTATTGGCCAGGGGAGTGTCACAACCCAAAGGGTGTGATTTTTGTTTGTGTGTGCTTCGGCACTGCTAAATTGTCCCCGCTAAATTGCAAGCTTCCTTGCACGGTGGAGTTTTCTGCTGCAAAAGAGAATCCCGGTGCAAGGGAGAATTTCCCGCCGATTTGAAGCTTTCTTTGCAGGGTG